AATAAAAAAATTAATAAATTAATAAATTAATAAATTAATAAATTAATTTAAAAAAATAAATAATAAATAATAAATAATAAATAAATAATAATAATAATAAATAATAATAATAATAATAATAAATAATAAATAATAATAATAATATTAATAATAATAATAATAAATAATAAATTAATTTTTTTACAGAAAAAATATCTGTCACACTTCAAATTCGTCTTTTCTTATTCAAAAATTCTTTTTCTAGCATTCTTTAAGTCCTTAAAGTCCTTCTGTACTATTTAAAAATTACCAAATTTACGGCGACGAAATTAAGTATTCTTAATTAATTAATAATTATCTCATATTTTTTTCTCATTCGCACTACTTTTAGCTTTAATTTGCGTGTTTGATCATTAAGCTTCGTCAATTTGTTCGTGAGTTATGATTTTTTAAATAAAACGAGTCGTAACGTGTTTGCTGCGCCGCACGCCGCATACCGACTTCGGACTCTTCTCAATCTTTAGTACCTATGTACAGTACTATCGGTCCTAAAAATATCGGCCTAGTACCAAACGATTCAGAAAGACCCCAAGAATAACTTCTGACACTTCAATAAGTACAGAAAAATGTTAAGGACACGTTTTTTCGTCATTTCAGGCGACTCATAGTGATGATCTGCTACATACGTAAACTTACCTGTCTTTTGAAACGCCAGTTTCCCATCACGATGCATTCAAAATTACATGCTATAAACTCTATTTTATAGGAAATTTTGTCAGCTTTAATTTCGGTCTCTTGAAATTTTTTCGTAAAGTTAATAGAAACGGAGATATTTACAAAAAAAGGAATAATAATGCAATTTTTCCACAATTTATTAAAAATACAGCAATATTCATGAACTTTTTTTTTAAATAAAACATACTTTGCGAAAGATTTATACTACTCCAGCACGTTCATATATGTATAAAGTAATAAAAACAAGGTAAAATAAATTTTTGAAAAATTATTATCCATATATTTTTGGACTAAAATGTTAATTTAACAAAAATTGATTTTTTTTCTTCAATATTTAAACGCCTGTAATTCATCAACGTTTTAATGAAAAAAGGTCTACGACGTTTCATTTTAAAGATAATGAAAATATCTTCAAGAAAAATACATAACATTACTGCCTCCAACCAATTAGAAAAAGTTATTTTCCAAAATGCACTAAAAAATGACATTTTTCATGTTTTTTGCTTTTAACTTCAAGCTATCTTTACCAAAATGAATTTATGCATACATCAACATGTTCAAAATTTTATTCTCTTTAACTTTCATTATACATACTATATGTGTACGACCTATACGTTCAGAGTTAATACTGATTTTTACATGCAAAACATCCACTATCAACATAAAATAAAATTGTCTTTTAATTATTAACTCGGCGAATTTGGACCGTACAGAAATGAATAAAAAACGAAATTGTTTGTAATTAGATTCTCTACAACTTTTATTTAAAACATTTTTCGATTTAAGAGTCCATTTTTGAGATATTAGCGAAAAATGCGCGACGCGCGTACGCGTATTTGTTGGGTCGCAAAACTACCGGTGTTTAAAAAAATTCTATCTCTGCTCCATTTGGTCGTACAGACTTGAATAAAAAACGAAATTGTGCGGAATTTTGTAAGCTACAATTTTAATATCTACATAAATTTCCGTAAAGTTGATATTTTCTGAGTTATTTGCGAAAAACTAATTTTTTGGACCTTTTGAACCCTCCCCTGCCCGCAACGTAGCGTCTACACATGGGGACTTTTAATATGTTAAATAGTACCCTAAAACAAGCCTGTTTACAAAGTTTCAGCTCAGTCAGTATTATTTCCTCCAAATTTTGTCATTTTACTGGGCTATATCTCGGAATTCAGATACGAAGAGACGAAAGAAGAAACTATATTAAGAAAGTCCTCGGATACGGCAACATATTAGAAGCAAAAGCGTCAAATATCCCAATGGACACCGGATACTGGAAACTTTGACAAGACTCGCCAATAATCAATAGCGACTCTTACCGGAAAATGATAGGAGCATTACTATATGTCGCAGTCAACACAAGACCTGATATTGCAGCATCGCAATTTTGGGTCAACACGTCGAAGCACCGAAAAGAGTTGACTGGGTCGAAGTGAAATGCGTCGCAAGATACCTAAGAGAAACGATCGACTATGAATTGCGTCTGAGCGGCAACGATGGACGAAAGTCAACCCTAGAAGGCTACGCAGATGTTACACGCCGACGAGCGTTCGCCACACAATTTCTCACTTTTACACTCGCGGCGCGTGTCACGACACTCTCGCACAAATAAGATGACTCGTTTAGAAATCAGTAGCTTTTTATTACGACTCTCGATATAATAGAGGAGCTCGGGACGATACGTCCGAACGAGACGCGTCCCCGAATAAATCTGAACATCAAGTATAATAGGAAAAATCAATAGTTAATTGAGCATCTCGCAATCAATATTAGTAAACAGCATCCGTCGCTAAGGACGGTTCGCGACGCGACATTAAATAACGGGCGACTCGCATATACGCGCGACACGAGGACAGCACGGGTGTAACACTACCCCCCCTCTTTCAAGATTGTCGCCCCAGACAATCCGGGAGGGTAGTCAACTCGCGGTAGCTTCTCTTGTGCGCCCCAGGGCGCCGAAACAGTCCTTGCCCTCCTCGAGCTGCTGCTCCAAGTTACCGGGCTCTACGTAGCTCAAGCTTCGCTTCCAGCTCTGCAAAATCTAAACAGTCGACATCTTGCACGGTCTCTAAAATGGAGCGCGTTTTTCCCCTCAAACTCGAGGCTAACACAACAGTTTTCGTCGCGTCATCTCAATGGTTCGCACGCGCGATCAAACTCAATTGCGAGAAGTATTCTTGTAACGGGGTTGTTCCGTCGTACGTGTCGGGTTTCAATTTGTACCCCAGGTCGGCACTCGCGACCGCGACACTATCACTCGCGTGTATTCGCGTTCTCACGCCGCTCGAGATCGTGTCTCTTTCTCCCGCACGCGCAACTCGCGCTACCGCGGCACTCGAGATTGTGCCCCTTTCACTCGCGTACGCGTCTCGCGTCCGCGCGCCGCTCGGGATCGCGTCCCCCTCACTCGCGTGCGCGTCTCGCGCTTCCGCGCCGCCCGCGACTCGCGTCCCCGAGTCTCCAGACGCTCTATTATCAGAATGACTTAGCTGTGTTTGTGTGCCAGAGTTCATCCCTCGGAGAAAACGGAGCTCCTCCTCCTGCCGGCGAAACGTCTCAGCGTACTCCTTCTCCCTTTGCGCCTGTTCCTCGCGCAGGAGCCGGACCTCCTGAATGACGGTCTGAAGACTCTCTGCTAGCGTCACCCCCGCATCCAGCGGATGGGTCGCGCCCGCCTCCGTTCCTACGGATGTCGCGGCCTGCGAACGGGTCCTCGGCGGGGTGTGCGTAGTCGTCATCATCCCGGACAAGCCCCCAAAATGTTACACGCCGACGAGCGTTCGCCACACAATTTCTCACTTTCACACTCGCGGCGCGTGTCACGACACTCTCGCACAAATAAGATGACTCGTTTAGAAATCAGTAGCTCTTTATTACGACTCTCGATATAATAGAGGAGCTCGGGACGATACGTCCGAACGAGACGCGTCCCCGAATAAATCTGAACATCAAGTATAACAGGAAAAATCAATAGTTAATTGAGCATCTCGCAATCAATATTAGTAAACAGCATCCGTCGCTAAGGACGGTTCGCGACGCGACATTAAATAACGGGCGACTCGCATATACGCGCGACACGAGGACAGCACGGGCGTAACACAGATGCAAATTGGGCCGAAGATCGAGAAAACAGAAAATTGAACAGCGGCTACGTATTACAAGCTGAATGGCGGCGCAGTCAGTTGGGCCTGTCGCAAGCAAGGATGCGTGGCGTTATCCTCGACGGAGGCCGAACTCGTCGCGCTGGCGGAAACATGCCAAGAGACAGTATGGCTGCGAAAACTGTTGGAGAGCTTCGGAAAAACGCAGAAGAATCCAACCACCATCTACGAAGATAACCAAAGCTGCATAAATCGCCTTAAAACGGGTGGTTTTACGAATAGGACAAAACACATCGACACCAAATACTTCTATGCCAAAGAACTGGAAACAGCAGAAGAGATTACAATCAAATATTGTCTCACCAAATCCAACGAAGCGGACATGCTGACGAAAGCTATTGGAGCCATCAAATTGAAGAAACTCTGCGAGAACGTCGGCCTGAAGAAATGGAATTAAAGAACCAATCGAACATCGTTGAGGGGAAATATTGAAATAAATCAACGATGCTACTCTGTTCTGGCAGACACACATACACACTGTAAACACACGCTGACACACACATACACACGTATACACACACATCACAATACACCTGTAAACGAAATCGGCCGGAGACTGGTCTCGCCCGGCACAATAAACAGTATGGACGTCTAACGAACAGGCTCACTTGTCTTATTTCACTCTGTTCCAGCGCACACATCGCTTTATCACTGGCTATATTTTTAACATTTTAAAATTATTTTTTATATTTATAATTGCGTTTGTCTTCTCCAACTCGATTATTCAATTTCTGACCAATTGAATGGTATAGAAGAACTAGCTGGTTACCCGGGTTTCGCCCCGGAGAACATATGTAATAAGTGCTTTGCCCTTGTAGATATATGTAATAAGACATGCAAATAGATAATTTTCTATTTTTACATTTAACACCAATAGATTTCCGCATCACCTTTGAGGTACTATTGTAAATGCGTTTTTTTATAGTGGTTTCCCCAGTAGGCCTATTCCACTTTAAAGAAAAATAACTTAATCTCTCTTACACACATGTTGTCCTCCAAATTTGGTGTCTCTAACAGACATGATGTCTTTCACAGACATGTTATTGGCTCTCTTCTAAACATCATATTTTTTACCGTTAATTTCTTTTAAAAAATTCTCGCAAAAAATATCTACGACCTTTTTTTCTATTTAAGGACCTCTTTGTATACCACATTGGTGGTTCTCCCCTCAGGTGCTAATATCACCAGACTGCTTGGTGAGCTCACCCTCGAGCAGGCCACATAGAACTGCCCATGTGAGAAACAATCCTCACTTAAATCAATTTCTGCTACTTTTAGCGACTGCCCCTCGGACTTGTGGATAGTCATAGCAAAACAGACTTTGAGAGGGAACTGCAGCCTCTTGAACTCAAAAAGATACTCTGATGATATGAGTGGTATGCGTGGTATAAACACCGTTTCTCCCCGAGCACAGCCGGTAAATACTGTGGCCTCGATGACATTTCTATATAAGGCCTTTACTCGCAGCCTTGTTCCATTGCAAAGTTTTGGCGGATTCAGATTTCTCAACATCACTGGTGCCCCCACTTTAAGGAAAAGCTTATGGGCCGGTAAGCCAGGAGGGTTCATGTTGTTAAGGAACTCCACGGGATAGTTGACCGCGTCATCCGTTTGTACCACCGAGTCCACAGACCTGTACTTCATTTCTCCCCCCTCGAATGAGTTAAGTAGAATGTCATTAATGACGCCAGCTTTATCGTTCTTAAAGGTCAGAATGGCACGCTCACACAGCCAGTCCATAGATTTCTCTTTGATATCGGCGATCTCAGGGTATATCTTAATAATAAGGCTTTCTAGAGTTGTTACTACTAAACCTAGACTTACAGAAATAATTACCTTTCCCTCAGACTAGGGATACTCTCTATCCCCTATTTTTAGTAGAAGTTTGGAAAATTGCCCTGCGAAAACATCTTCTCTCAAGTATACCCTCATGTTCTTTTTGATAGAGATTTTCCTAATAAGGGACCATAGATGTGATTTTTTGACACACGCCTTAACCTCGTCAGCTCGAGTTCCCCTTGGCACTACTGGCAAAGCCTGTCTAAAATCTCCAGCCAGCACCACGGTCACTCACCCCATCACTCCATCGTTGCCCCTAATATCTTTAAGGGTTGTGCTCAGTGCCTCAAAACCCCCCTTATGTGCCATGGTGCTTTCATCCCAAACAATGAGCTTACAATCCCGTAGTACTTGAGCCATGTTACTTTGTTTTAAAATATTGCACATGGGTGTTTCTGCATGAATGAGATGCAGAGGCAGCTTAAAAGCAGCGTGAGCGGTCCTGCCTTTCTCCAACAACGTAGCAGCGATACCTGATGCGACAGCCAATGCAATTCCACAATCACTCCTTATCCTCGCCAGAAGTAAGTTGATGAGGAAGGTCTTCCCAGTACCACCAGAAGCATCCAGGAAAAATACCTGACCAGCACCTGACTCAACGCTACTAATAACCTTCCGATAGACAGCGAGCTGCTCATCTGTCAATAAACTCTCGTTATTCGACACCACTTCCGCCAAGGCATTTACGTCGTAATTGGTCTCCCTCAAATAGTCTCGGTTCCCCAATACTCTTCCAGACCTTTTTGGTTGAGGCAGGCCATACTGTTGCAACTCCTGTCCTCCCAAAGCCACCACTGCGTTCTCAATTAACACCAGAACCAGACATCTATTGTACACCTCATCCATTACCTGTTGCGCACTGCCTTGCAACTCTCTCTCCACCTGCCGCGTAATATCCTCTGAGAAACTGTCTTTGTACTTTTCCCAAAGACTCAGAGGTTCTAAAAGTTGGCAGAATGCCAACATCACTGTAAAAAAGCTCCCTCAGCTTTAAAGGGAAATCACATAATGCAGCTTCCTTTAAGGTATTGTCCCATTGCTTGTCATCTTCCAGCAAACCTAATGCCTTGCATGTAGACTGGAATGTGGCACATAAGATACCATTCGCAGTCTTTAAATCTAAAAAAGACGTTGGACCTCGAATCTTATGTAGCAACAAACGAAGATAATAACACTCGGTGTTGTTTGAATGAATAGTGTACACTCTTCCCAGCGCGTGGTCCTTCTTTATTCCTGACCAACCATCAATATCCTTCCCCCGTTTTCTTCTCACAAACTTGTTATTTTTCCACACAAAGTATGACGGAACCTCAGAGTACAGGAGAGATTTTTCTAAATCGTCAGTTTTGCTGAGGTGGGTTATTGAGCCTCTCAGCCAAGTTCTTAGAGTTGAAATACACACGCTGACCATTTTCAAGGTGAACAGCGAGATGGAAGACAGTGGGGTACCTTTTATGAATAGGGAACGCTAAGATTCTCCAAATCGCCTCTGAGCTGCTGATGTATCGCCCACTCTCGTACAACTTCACTTCATCCTTCTCACTCTCCAGAGCAAAAACCGCCTGGTCACTTCCCTTGTTTACGTATTTGCAAATGTACTTGATGGACTTAACAGAACTGCATAATTCCACATTGACATGAGCATTGAAACTACGTAACAGTACAAGGTTGTACGGCACCACCCAGCAATTGTCCAGCTCTATTCCATTGATTTCGACAGTGAAGCCACCATCAGCTGGAGACCTTCTCTGATACAGCGGGTATCCATTATCTCCTGTCTGAGTGTCATTGAGAAGTATTCGAGGATACCTCTTGCTGCACCTGCCTTCTTTCATGCAAGGCGAATTGTGGTTCAAGCCTCCGCAGGTATCATTAATCATGTTGGCCTTGACGATGTTGTGGAGAAGAGAGTCTTGCACAGGATCAGGTATTTTGGCACATATGACTTTGTCGATCATGTCAGGGAAGATGCGCTGCTGCTCTAGCCACAGCAAGATGTGGATGTAAAGCAGACCTCGCTTTTGCCACTCCACAGAGTACATAAAGCAACACACTTTTCCAAACAGACTACCCTTATTCAAGAGTGCCATCATCTTCTTCACCTTAAGATGAAATACCCTAGCTATAATGTCGTGACGATCGTGAGATTTTTGCCCAGGCAATAGTGCATCTGTTATATCCTTCCACTTTGGGTTACAGGTAAAAGTGATGAACAGATCAGGACGGCCATGATAGCGGACGTATGTCATAGCGTCTTGAGTCCGCTCATGCATGTAGCGAGGTCCTTCAGTGAAAGATGACGGAAGCACCACCATTTGACCCAGCTGAGCAACGTCAGCATCCTGCCTTCCCACGACGTCCCTCAGGTGAATGTAGCTGTCTGCCCTCAGCTGCGCCTGGTTGTTCCTAATGTAGTTCAACCTTTCTGTCTCTATTTTGGCGTACATGTTAATCAGAAATTGACTAAAAAGAGAACGGAAGTACACCAAGTGGTTGACTTCCCCTTTCCTGATCATAATTCGATATGAGTAGAAGCTCGCTGCGGAAACTAAATTCTTAAGTGGCAACTTAGTCTGAGGGTCGCGCTGTGGAATGGTAATCGAGTATCCATCCTCGCCACGGCAAAACAGGAGCGGGTACTGCAATGCGTCGTACAACCGGTGAATCTCGCTGATGCGCCGCAGTTTGTTATCGTGGCTCTGCAGCACAATGTCTCGCTGATCGAATTGCTGACCAACAATCACCAGAGCTACCTTATTTGCTATTGAAGCGACCTCTATGAGCGTCAGCAGGTTTTCTGTCTGCATGAATGACGATTTCAAACTTTTGGCAAGTTAAAGATACCTTATCTAAAGTGGTCTTCAAGTCCTGATGTAGCTGTTGACGTCATGTAACATTTTTTGCAGTTCTTTGACTAATCCCTGTTTGATATCTAAAAAGTTGCTACATTTTAATCGCACATCCCTTTCATCCTCGCCCACAAAATAAATTTGTAGAAATCGAGCTTCCTGTTCAGATACTGGCAGTAGACTTCCTACCAAGTAATATACCTGCCCCTGAACTTTAAAGGTCGGTATGAAGCCATCTTGTAGAACCTGCTTGCCCCTGAATAATGTCATACTAAAGCAGCCATTATACTTTTTAATATGGTTCATAAAGTAGACGTACTCTGGGTGGCTGCCCATTATCAAACTGTATAGAGGCTCAAGCAGAGGTTTAAAGGGTGAAAGTTGCACCCTTCCAGCGCTGCAGCACATGCCGGAAGTCTCCTCCTCCCACTTGAAAGCATTGCAGTATTGGCACTTGTGGCTCATGGTTCCCAAAGCTATAGTACTGTCTGCTTCATAAGCCACATCAGGATCATATGCCATGCCTGAGTGGGCTTTGACCGTCCACGGAAGTACTCGCCTTTCTACTTTTCTTCCAGGATTACTTTGTTCATATCGAAACTTTGCCACTCTGTGCACCTCAGAGTTATTTTGTTGGTACCTAGCCACCGCTGCTCTGTGCATCTCAGGGTTATTTTTTTGGTACCTAACCACCGCTGCTCTATTCACCTCGGGGTTATTTTTTTAGTACTTAGCCACCGCTGCTCTATTCACCTTGGGGTTATTTTTTTGGTACCTAGCCACCGCTAGGTTGCATTACAAACTAATTAATTACTTGAATAATTGCAAACACGAAATAAACGTAAAAGATACTTTGTAGTATACACACTCCTTTTCTCTCTCTCTCTCTCTCACTCTCTTTTGAGTTATCTATATATCAGCGTTTCACTACTTTAAATAAAGCAAATAATAATTTATGATTTGGTTAAATTAAATCTAAAAATATAGGGGGGGTCCGGGAGAGTTAAACCACGTTTTACTTAAAGGTCCATAAAATTTAGTATAATTGATCTATCGATTTATTTTTTATGTCAAAGTAAAGCTTACTATACGGCTACAATTTGTGGATTTAATAATTTCAATACGTTCATAAACGTAAATGTTATATTAAATTTAAAGAAAACCGAGATTTGGTTCATCTCTCCCCAAAGGGTGGGAGACATGACCATGGATGTAGGGAGATTTGACCATATCTCATAAACTCATGGAAAAAAATTATAAAAATATATTTAAATTTTAGTTTATTAATAACTCACAAATTTAAATTCACATTTCTAATGTTTAATTGACTTTTGTGAACAAAATTAATAAAAAGAATTAAAAAAAACTTTGAACTGAATATCTATGCCTTCACATGGTTTTCATTAATTTTGAAAACAAAAATAACCGATACAAAACTTTTCAATTTATAGAAACTAAAAATAATAATTTGATATCAATCATTTATAAACTAAAATAGTAAAAAATTAAACAGTTCAAACATTTAAACTTCTGTCTCACTATCCCTTAACTAAAGAATGTTTCTTTTAATCGTTTCTTTGATTTATTTATTTTCTGAGATTTCTTTGGTTTCTTTCTCTTTGGTTCTTCTTATGTTTCAAGTGTTTTATGTTTTTCTTGATCATTTTTTCCGGCGATTTTGTTAATATTTTAGTTTTTCCAGGCTAACGACCACGCCGTGCAGATTTTCTCGGCGCAGCTTTAGGATATGGTTTGATCATTTCTGGCGTGGTGAAACTTTTAGGTGCATCTTGCCCGTTTGCTGTAGAAGTTGATGGAATTGGTGACTTAGCAGATACATGTCCTTCTGCTGTAGAAATAGTTGGAAAATATGATGCACATGGATCCCTGTTTGTCTCGGCAGTTTCTGTAACCATTCCTAGAATAGATGGCAAAGCTAGCGAACGAATAGGTGGGCCTTGTTCAACGGCTATTTCTCTGTCTGTGACTGCAGAGCACAAAAAGTCTTCATCATCGAATATTTCAGGATTAAACGGGTGTATTCCTGACTTTCTAAAGCCACTCCTGATATTAGCTTGACTAAAAGCTTGTGACACTACGTCTCTTACAAAACTAGGGATATTGTAAATTGTGACTGTTTTTCCGGGGTTGGACAACATCCAGTTACTCATGACAATATTGTATCTTGTCTTGAATGAGGAATAGACAGCAATATCTAGTGGTTGAAGTTTGTTGCTACAGTGAGGTGGAAGAGTTAACAGTGTTATTCCATTTTCTTTTGCAAAATTAATACCCTCAACACTCACGTGACTTTCGTGGTTGTCTAAAATCAAGAGCACAGGGTTTCCTTTAGAGGCACAAGAATATTTTACAAAATGTTTCATAAATTTGTAACGGCCTAACTTTGTCATCGAACGCGGACTAGTTCGCTGGGACGGATTTCGACTGAAAGGCCCACAGACAATAACCAGTGTGATTGCATGCGAAATGATTTATTCAGTCTTAGTCTACAAAATGATGTAAGCGCGGTATATTACAACGGCGGGGTAGTGCAGGCGCACTCGGCGCGATGCGGCGCGATAGCGAAACGCGGTATTACAATAGCTTACGGACTCGGTATATTACAACGGCGGGATAGTGCAGGCGCACTCGGCGCGACGCGGTGCGATAGCGGAAACGCGGTATTACAATAGCTTATGCAACGGTGGGATAGTGCAGGCGTACTTGGCGCGACACTGTGCGATAGCGGGAACGCGGTATTACGATTGCTTATGGACCCGGTATATTACAACGGCAGGATAACGCGGTATTACACGGTTGATAGCGCGCGTGGGACCGCGTAGTGTATAAGCGGAGGATTTCCGGAGCCCCGGGGCGGCGGCAGCGAGAGCCCTCGTTGCGAGGCCGAGTGTGCTCGACCCCGCGTAACCGTGCCTTCGGAGTTAGTTCTGATGGAGTGCGGGAACACCTGAGAGCCCTCAGTCGAGGCTCGGAGCACCAGACCTCGTTGGTGTGTTCCCTAGGAGTCGGGAGAGGTTTCGTCCGGAATAGCGGTACGCTGGATATTAGACGAAGTGACCACAGAACATATACTAAAAGAAGCGCAAGCTCATTGTTCTACGGTGGAAACATGAAACGACGCGCGACCGACATATATATGTAGCAACCAACACGACCTCAAGCGCCGTGGCCCTGGTACTACGTTCTATATCTGTGGCCGTATTCCGAATACGGCTTATATAATTTACGTTATACGTAAAGTGTAGATTTTCAATACTGGCAGTGTATATCGGAACACGGTCTATATAAGCTGTAAATAATATAGAATAATATATGTTAATAAATAATATGTTATTTTCGTAAATAAATGAGGGAATGCGCAATAAAAAAACAAATTAATTGTATATAAAATAAAATACATTTTTATTTCAAAATTTTTAACATAAAATACATTTTTATTTCAAAGTGTGTAACATAAAATTTTTGATTTTGAAATAAAGTCTATAATAATAGAACACATAACAAAATATACGATTCTATAATAAATGTAAAAAAAAAAAATTGTGCAATTAAAGAGTTCGAAAATCAAAAACATCAAAGAGAAACCAAAAATGCAAATAAACAGAAAATGCAACTAAATCACAATGATTTAAATTGCTTGGTTTTTTCGTAATGGCCTGTACCGGTTTTTTCTTATCTTTGGCATACTTCTGTATTAAAAAAGCTAAACTATTTTTGACGATTGTATTATCACATTTAATTCAAAGTGTGTAACATAAAATACACTTTGATTTCGAAATAAAGTCTATAATAATAGAACACATAATAGAATATACGATTCTATAATAAGTGGAAAAAAGAAAAAACCGTACAATTGAAGAATTCGAAAACCAAATACATCAAAGAGAAACCAAAAATGCAAATAAACAGAAAATGCAACTAAATCACAATGATTTAAATTGCTTGGTTTTTTCGTAATGGCCTGAAGTTACTTGTACCGGTTTTTTCTTATCTTTAGTATACTTATGTATTAAAAACGCTAAACTATTTTCGACGATTATATTATCACATCGATGATTGCTGCAGAAATCACTGCTGTAGTTATTAAAAAATATTTTTTTAAAAGTTGATTCTAAGTTTGACTTATGTCCATTTTCATCGCAAAAGTGAAATAATCTATCGTGTACGTTTTGTATTAACGTAATCACCTAATTACTTGGATACGTTAACGAATTTTTTTCTGAATATTCCTTAAAAACTGTATACAGATGATGTTGTTCTTGTTGTGTACAAAACAAATCAATTTTACATTTTGAACAATTTTCATCAGAAAGTTGTAGCTTTTTTAAAAGATAACCCAACACGTAAGAAAGAGCTTGAGAGGCATCAGTGTTTAAATTTTCAAAATTGACCCATGGAAGAGTACAGTCACTGGTGTTTTTTAATGGTTTACTTTCGCCCTCGCTGTCACAAGTATTACTTAAAAACTTTCGAAAATTGTCCAAATTTTCCCAATTATCGCTTTCATAATTCGCAGATTTGGAGACCGGTGCAACGAGATTATTTAATATTACAGTTTTTAAGGCAGCTACAAATTGATGACAAGTGGGATTAGAATTTGCAATTCCATGTTGCCGAATTTGGCAAAACAGATTTTCCAGTGGATCTTGATTTAAATTCCTCATATTTAGAAAGGTGAAGCCAACAGCTTTTAATTGATGCCACAAATACATGACCGATCTGATTGTTATCATCCAACCTTTTACGAAATGATATTGATTTGTGACATCTTTTCCGTTAGTTAAATCAAATAATTTCCACTTAGTCATTTCTGACAGTAATCTGCTATATAACATTAAGTGAGGCGAGCCGTCTTGCAAACAACATCTGTATTCCTTGCCATCATCTGGGTTTATTGTTAAACCATTTAAGGAATCGAAGAGATCATCTATAAGTTG